ACACAACACAGCACAAACCAACAAAAAAAACACACACAGCACAACACAACACAGCACAAAAACCACACAAAAACCCCCAACACAAAAGCACAAAAAAGCACAAAACAACACAACACAACACAACGCAGCACAACAAACACAACACAACACAACACACCAACAAAAAACACAGAACAACACAACACAACACAACACAACACAAGACAACAAACACAACCAACCAACACAACACAACGCAGCACAACACAACAAACACAACACAGCACAACACAACACAACACAACACAACACAACACAACACAACACAACACAAAACCAAACAACACAACACAACGCAGCACAACACAAAAAACACAACACAACACAACACAACACACACAAAACAACACAACACAACACAACACAAACCCCAGCACAACACAAAACAACACAACCAACACAGCACAACACAACACAAAACAACAAACACAACACAACACAAACAACAAAAACACAACACAACACAAGACAAAACAACACAACCCACAACCAACACAACACAACGCACACAACCAACACAACACAACACAACACAACCAAAAACAGCACAAAACAACAGAAAACAAAACAACAAACACAAAACCCAAAACAACACAACACAAACGCACACAACACAAAACAACACAGCCAACACAACACAACACAACACAACACAACAAAACCCCCACAACAAACACAACACAACACAGCGCAACCAACACAGCACAACAAGCAAACACAGCACAACAAACACGCAAAACACAGCACAACACAACACGCACAACAAAACCAAAACACAGCACAACCAACACAACACAACAAAACACAACACAACACAGCACAACACAACACAACCAACACAACACAGCACAACACAACACAACACAGCCCCAACACAACAAAAACCCACACAACACGACACAACACAACACAACACAGCAAAACACAACACAGAAACACAACACAGCACAAACGACACAACACAACAAAAACACAGCGAAACACAGCGAAACCAACACAAACAACACGCAAACACAGCACAACACAACACAGAAAAACACAGCACAACACAACCAGCACAACCAGCACAACAAACACAGCTAACACAGCCAACACAACACAGCACAACACCACAACACAACAAAACAAAACCCAAAACACAGCAAACACAACACAACCGCACAACACGACACAACACAACCAACACAGCACAACACAACACAGCACAACACAACACACCAAACACAACACAGCGCAACCAACACAACCAACACAGCAAACACACACAACACAACCAGCAAAACACAGCACAACACAACACAGCGCAACACAACACAACACAACACAGCATAAACACACAACACAACACAGCAAAACAGCACAACACAAAAAGGGCGCAAAACAACACAACACAACACAGCATAACACAGACAACCAACCAGCAAACACAGCACAACACAACACAGCGCAAACAACACAACACAGCACAACAAAACAAACAAAACACGCACAACACAACACAGCACAACACAACACAGCGCAACCCCCAAACAACACACACAACCAACACAACACAACCAGCACAACACAACCAGACAAACAAACACAGCGCAACAAAACACAACACAACACAACCAGCATAACAAAACAAACAAAACAGCATAACACAGCACAACACAACACAGCGCAACAACAACACAACACAACACAGCATAACACAGCACAACACAACACGCATACACACACAACACAACACAGCAAACACGCACAACACAACCAGCTAACCAACACAACACAAAACGCAAACAAAACACAACACAACACAGCATAACACAACACAACACAACACAGCATAACCGACAACACAACACAGCGCAACAAAACACAACACAACACAGCATAACACAGCAAAACACAACACAGCAAAACACAGCAAAACCAACACAGCGCAACACAACACACACAACAACACAGCGCAACACAGCGCAATACACAAAACACACAAAACACACACAGCTAACACAGCAAAACACAAACACGCAACACAACACAACACAACACGCATAACACAGCACAACAAAAACACAGCAAACCAGAAAAACCCCCAACACAGCCAACACCAACACAGCAAACAAAACACGCGCAACACAGCGCAATACACATAACACAGCACAACACAACACAGAAAAACCAACAAAAACACAACACAGCGCAACCAACACAGCAAAACCAACACAACACAACACACGAAACACACACACACAACACAACAAAACATAACACAACACAACACAACACGCAAAACAAACACAGCAAAACCAACACAGCAAAACCGCATAACACAACACAGCATAACACAAAAAGCATAACCAGCAAAAACACACACAGCGCAAAACAAACAACACACACAACACAACACAGCATAACAAAACACAGCTAACACAGCAAAAACAACCACATAACACACCACAGCATAAACACATAACACAACACAGCGCAACCAACACACACAGCAAACACAACAAAAAAAAACAAAACACAGCATAACACAGCATAACACAACACAGCATAACACAACACAGCTAACACAAAATTAACACGCACAAACAACACAGCATAACACAGCACAACAAACAACAAACACAACAAAACACAACACAGCAAACCAACACGCATAACACAGCATAACACAACACAACACCACAATACAACAAACACAGCACAACACAACACACTAACACAACACAGCACAACACAACACAACACAACACAACACAACACAGCACAAACAACACAACACACAAAACGCACAACACACACAACACAACACAGCACAATACAACACAACACAGCATAACACAGCACAACAAACACAGCATAACACAACACAGCAAACACAGCATAACACAACACAACCAACACACATAACACAACACAGCAAACACAACACAGCACAACACAACACAACAAAACACAACACAACACAACACGCACAACACAACACAACACAACCCCAACAAACAAAACCCAAAACCCAAAACACAACACAACACGCAAACACAACACAACCAACCCCAAACACAACACAACCAGCATAAACAGCACAAAAAACACAACACAACACACAAAACAACACAACACAGCATAAAAAGCACAAACAACACAGCACAACACAACACAGCTAACACAACACAACAAAACACAGCATAACACAGCACAACACAACCAGCATAACACAGCACAAACAGCAAAACACAACAAACACAACACACATAACAAAACAAAAACACAACAAGCATAACACAGCACAACACAAACAGCTAACAAGCAAACACAAAAAAGCATAACACACACACACAACACAGCGCAACACAGCAAAACACAACACAGCATAACACAGCACAACACAACACAGCATAACACAGCACAACACAACACAGCATAACACGCCAACCAACACAGCTAACACAGCACAACACAACACCATAACACAGCACAACACAAACAGCTAACACAACCAACAAAACCAGCATAACACAGCACAACAAACACGCATAACACAGCACAACACAACCAGCATAACACAGCACAACACAACAAAGCAAACACAACACAACAAAACAAGCATAACCAGCACAACACAACACAGCAAACAACCCCAAACCCCCAACACAGCGAACACAGCAAAAACCCAACACAGCAAACACAGCCAACACAACACACATAACACAGCAAAACACAAACAGCAAAAACACAACACAACACAACACACAAAAACACAGCACAACACAACACAGCTAACACAGCACAAACAACACACGCAACACACCCACAACACAACACAGCATAACACAGCACAACACAACACAGCAAACACAGCACAA